TTTTTGGAGATCCATATAACTGACCACTTCATTCTCACAATAAAATCTGTGGAAGGTAGTCTGCATTATAGTTAGATCTATTAGGGTCAAAATTTTCCATGAACCTGTCATTCCTTGTGATCATCAAGGTATGCAGCACATAGCAAGACATGATGTTGTTCGCAAGGATGCCTAGATGTCCTCTAAATCCCTTCTAACCAAGCAATTTGCATTGCCTCTTTAAAATTCCAAAAGATTGCTTGACAACAATCCTCATAGAAGAATGAAGAAAGTTGTATTGCTCTTTGCCATGAAACTTGTTTGGATATAAGACCAAAACCAATAAAGCACACTCTTATCCTCTGTCAACAATGATATACAATGGAATGTCCCCAAACTCTGTGTGGTACACTGGACCACATAAACACTTCTTCTCTATCTATGCCTTCTTCAAACCACTAGAATTCCAAACTTGTCTATCTGGAACACTACCTACTATCCCTATTGTTATGTAAAGAAATGAAGTCTTACTGTCTACCACAACTTGAACTACCATTGAGTAGTACTTTTTTGCCCTAGCATATCAATCTATTGCATCCTCTGAACCTAGGAGCTCGATTGCCATATGAGTGCAATCCATTGCACCACAACAATTTGGGAATCCATGCAATCTCTAAAATCATGCTATAACTTCATTTATTCCCTCCTCATCTGCCAATGGATCATTAGTCCTTTATGCTCAAGCAATGAATACCTGAATCAGCATAGACAAGCTTGAGTGCATGAAGCCACTCTAAATGCATCACCAATTATTTACCATGTATCCCCGAATGCCAAGCATTTCAAAGCAATAGCTACTTGCTTTGAAATAGCTAAGTGCTACTTTGGTATTTCTGCCAAATTTGGAGGAGGCCTCCTAGCCAATTTTGGAGCAAGCTTGTCACAAAGAAAAGTGAATGTAGATACTAAAAAACTTCTCTGAATCTTTGTGGATTTATATAGAGAACCTGAAGCTCTGTTTGATACCACCAATGGAGACTTCTTGGCTTGATGTAATCCACATTGAACAATAGCCCTAGGAGCTCCTTTTTAGTGGTCACTCTTTCAATAAATGAAGTTGCAATAGGATATAGCATAGAAAGCACTATAGCAATCGCTTCCTCCACCACAAAAGCTTTCTTGAAACTAGAATTAAGATCATGTCCTCCTCCAGAAAGAACAACTCTACCAAATTTAAGTACTTCATCACAATCTCTACATCATGGGAAGTGATTGCCAAGGAAGAATTGCCAAGCTATGGCATGCTATGCACTCAATTTAGGGTAAAAAAAAATGGCACCCTAATCCATTATGATGTGGAAAAAAAGAAGCTAATGTGTAGCCTTATGTGGCATATAAAAAAGAGGGTTACATGTAATGTAACCATTAAAAAAAAAGAGGGGAAAGTTGTTTTTGGAGGGGGGGGTGGGGAGAAATTTCCAAGTGGGTGGAGCATGGAACCCCACCCTAAGGGAACTACTCCTTATTCACATGGGCATAAATTAAAAATGCCTCGAGATGGAAAATGCTTAGTAGTCTATTGCTCAACCCCAATGAGCTTATAGAAGGTGATGAACCTGATCTAGAATGCCCAAATAATATACCAAATTGAGGAATATGATTAAGCCACCTCTTCATGTGTTGAATAATTCTTTTAAGCTTTGAGTCAAAGCTTGTATTATTCTATTCCAGTAAACCATTTAAGAAATAGTGTTTGGTTGCAATCACTAAGTAAAAACTAAATAAACCAAGTGCTTGTTACATATTGAACTTAAGCAAGTTTTAATAAATTCTTCTCTTTGTAGAATTAGCATCTAACTATCCCAGCGGAGCTGGGTTCCCTGCTAGTGATTAATTTAAATGAATAACAACCACTAGAGAGTAGAATATCCCAGAGTATTTAAGAATATTCTAAGTATATTCACTATCACAATGCAAACCAGGAATAATACTATTATTAAGAAAATTAAATATTGCTGCATGCACACACATTTAAAAATATATATAATACTTTCAAGTATATTTACAAATGGGCATCTGATGCGAGGGAGGACCAAATTTCTCACCCAAGGATTTTCCATGACCAGTTTGTAGGACTGACTAGAACACCCTTGTCGTCAGGCATTTCTGCCGCCTATCCTCAAGCACCACCATGCTAGATGGATTGCTGGAGCACACTGCCAGCATTTGCCAGGCACATCAAATCTTCTACCTGGTCAGCCTGAGGGCAAGGACTGGAGCTACTCTGCTTCCTTCTAACTGTAAGAAATCTTTGGTGATCCATTTTAGTTCTCCAATTTTGAACTTTATCCAAAAGTAAAATAAGGATTATAAACATAGCTGATTATGTTATGTTAGAATATACTCAAACCACAAACCAAAATATTGCTTAATTTGTTTATGCTGACCTAGAAAACATGAGAGTGTTGTGGTGTTGGTAGGGACAGGGCAAAAGTATGTTGTACTACTGGTAGAAGTCACACATTCCAAGTCTGGATGCCGTTAATTACGTTCTAGGGTGATGAGTTTATTTTCAAAGTTCTTGCTCCTTGTTCTCTCATTCTCTTCTTCAGTTGTCCCAGTGGTCTCATGCCTCCAGCAAGACCCTCCAAAAACATGTATTAGTGACAAGTAGAAACGATTGTAATAGCATAACTAGCATTTTAGTGACTAGCTTTGTTGTCAAGTTTCCATGTTTTTCTTGCACCCACAAGAGACCCGGATAGTGAATACCATTGCACCAATCTTCCCTTTTGTTACATTACAAGAGCACTAAAGGTCGTGATTATGTGCTTTTGGAAAGTTTGATCTCCTTGAAAAAAGAGTAGTTTAGTTTTTTTGGCAAATTTGCCACACATACTCTCCTAACCGCTCAGTCTTCGCTTGCCGAAATTCCTCTCAGATCCTTGTGTCTTTGCTTGAGTTCTACCTCCCGAAATTCCTCTGAGCTCCTCATAAATGTTGGCAAGTAGATTGCAATCGGAACTTTAAACATAGAATATCTAAAATTGAAGCGACAGTGGTTGCCTCCTCCGTGAGAAGCCGCCTTGAGAACCCTAGTATCACAATCTCTGTAGATCTGTGACAAGAAGGGAAATCCATTTCTGAAGAGGAGAAAACTAAGAAGTGTTTCTTACCTCGTCAAGTTCTTCTCCGTTTGGCTCCGGCAGACGAGTCTTCGATCATTTCCTGGAGACCAGGAATAAGAGTTTGTCTCACAAGTCACCATGTTGAGAGGATGAGCGCTCGTGACTCCTTTCAGCTCCGTCCGAAAGAAGAGTTCCAAAGCTATAGCCGTGCCATCTTCTAAAGCACGGAGTTTGACAAGTTTGCCTATCCAAACTAGCGCAAGCTTTCAACGCAGCCACAAAGGTGAGAAAACCCCGGATCGTTCCATCAATGGAAACAGCTCGACTCGAGAACCAAGCCCGTGCGCTCCGTATCCAAGCATCAAACTGTTCCATGACACAGTAGAAAAATCCAGTGCCCTGGCGAACACTCCGCGAGCGTGCACACTCGGCACGGGCTCGGCACACATGCGAATCAAAACCGTTCGGATTCTCACCGACTTGATCACGCGTTTCTTCTCAGTCGCGTCATCCAGCACGCTATGCATACCTGGCTTCTCGACAGACTCTTTCCTTCTTGCCCTCTGCGATGTGGATGCCGCATGCCTTGATCGCGCTCTGGACTACCTTAAACCGCACAGGATTAGTGGGAATCTACGTTGTTTAAGCTAACCCAGCCTTTACTTTAGTGCACATATAAATAAGATCAAGTCCTTTAGGGTCGTACGAGCTATGGCGAGAGCAAGCAAGAGAAGTAGAGAAGACGATGGTATCATGGTGCTGACAAAGAAGCGTCGACTGAGAAGCGAGAGGGCTTGCAAGCTCACGGCCCAAGAGGTGAGGGATCAAAACTTGTACGGCGTGTGGGAGCACCACGACCTTCCGGACAACGTGTACCAGTGCCCAAGGTGCCAATCTTACAACACGCGGTTCGATTACTACAACAACGAGAAGAGTACTGGCAAGCGCGACCAGCCGCGCTACGCTTGTAGGTCGTGCAAGGGAAAATGGACACAAGGTGGCAAGGTAAGGGACGTATCGCTATCGCCCACTGGTGGAAATAAGAGAACTTTAAAGAGCCATGGGGGAGACAAGATCACTCCAGTCGTCCAGGAAGAATTTGTAGGCGAATCATCTCAAGTTATGGGTGATTGTGTTGCGGGTTTTGATCAAACTACTTATTGGGAGCAAGGCCATGGTCTGGGTGATTGTGCCCAACCTTTATCTCACGAGGCTTTTGATCAAAACAGTTGTTGGGAGCTTCTGCCAGCCTTGGGTCAAGGACCTGTTGGTGACTGTGTGCAAGAAGTGTTTGCTCAAGCTAGCGAGCTTGGCGATGGAGTGTTTGCTGATCAAGTTAGTCAGGAGTTTGTTGGTGGGGTTGAAGGTGGAGATGTGCAAACCAATTGCTGGGGGCAACCTCAAGAATTCAATGATGTGTTTATTGATATTGAGGGATTTCTGGCAGACCTGCCAGAAATACAGGCTTGCTGATTCATGGAATTTTTTGTCAAAAGAATTTATAGTTGGATCCCAGGGTTTCCAGATTTGTTTGATGAATAGAAGCCTACATAGTATTATATTTCAATCTATATGTCAAATATATGAAAAGCCGCAAAGATAAGAAAAAATATATACTTTCTCTTTCTCAAAATAGTTTCCTGTCCACCAGTAAGCCGATGACGAAGGAGCTCACAGAAACCTATGGAAATGCCTATAGATAGATCTTGAGCTTCAGCAGTTTTCTATCATCAACCTTTAGCGCCTTGATTGTATTTACAGCCAAACCATTTGCCAGACATTACCTTAAACCGCACAGGATTAGTGGGAATCTACACTGTTTAAGCTAACCCAGCCTTTACTTTAGTGCATATATAAATAAATAAGGTCAAGTCCTTTAGGATCGTACGAGCTATGGCGAGAGCAAGCAAGAGAAGTAGAGAAGGCGATGGTATCATGGTGCTGACAAAGAAGCGTCGACTGAGAAGCGAGAGGGCTTGCAAGCTCACGGCCGAGGAGGTGAGGGACCAAAACTTGTACGGCGTGTGGGAGCACCACGACCTTCCGGACAACGTGTACCAGTGCCCAAGGTGCCAATCTTACAACACGCGGTTCGATTACTACAACAACGAGAAGAGTACTGGCAAGCGCGACCAGCCGCGTTACATTTGTAGGTCGTGCAAGGGAAAATGGACACAAGGTGGCAAGGTGAGGGACGTATCGCTATCGCCCACGGGTGGAAATAAGAGAAAATCCAAAGCTTTAAGGAGTCATGAGGGAGGGGGTGCGTGTGACAAGGTCACTCCAGTCGTCCAAGAAGAATTTATAGGCGAATCATCGGGTCCAGGAGAGGAGGGTTTTGATCAAACTACTTGTTGGGAGCAAGGTCATGGTGTTGGTGATTGTGCTCAACCTTTCTCACATGAAACTTTTGATCAAATCAGTTGTTGGGAGCTTCTACCAGCCTTAGGTCAAGGGCCTGTTGGTGATTGTGTGCAAGAAGTGTTTGCTCAAACTAGCGAGCTTGGCGATGGAGTGTTTGCTGATCAAGTTAGTCAGGAGTTTGTTGGTGGGGTTCAAGGTGGAGATGTGCAAACCAATTGCTGGGGGCAACCTCAAGAATTCAATGATGTGTTTATTGATATTGAGGGATTTCTGGCAGACCTGCCAGAAATACAAGCTTGCTGAGTTGGATCCCAATGTTTCCAAAGAGTTTTCATTTGTTTGATAAATAGAATTCAAAGCTTACATAGAATTATATTTCAATCTGTATTTAAGAATACGATCGACAAATCCAAGCTCTGGATGACTTTGCAAGAGCTGGAAGAGTTTGACGACGAGAGAGGCCTTGTTCATGGCGAGAGCCAAGCTTTCCAGCTCCAGGTCGAAGATCTCGTCAGGGATGGTGTTGCTGCTCAAGTCGATGGTGGAGAGGTTGAAGCATCCTCCCAAGGTTGGCGGAAGAGCTCCCTGGAGATTGTTGTAGTGGAGGTAGAGCCACTGGAACGCCTTCATGGAGCCGATGGACAGATCGTTCTCTGCGAGGTTGAGCTCCTGGAGCTCCGGAAAGCCGGTCACGATCCACGGCGGCGGAGTTCCCAGGCAAGCGAAGAACTTCCAGCCGCGACAAGCTCTCGAAGGACGGGATTTCTCGAAGACGAAGACTCCCATAAAATATACTACCTCTTTCACCAGCTCCACAAACAGTGAGTCCTCAAATCTCTCGTTGAAAGCCATGGAACTTTGGAAAGCTCTAAGAATTCTTGATTCTTCCACTCTCTTTGTAGAAAAGAACTCCAAGGTTCCTACCTTTCTCGTCATTCTCCAGTGTGGACCATATGAAGCCCATGCCAAATCCTTGGAACCATAAGAAAACATGCTTGGCAACTGCGATCTTTGCAAAATTGGTGTCATAAGTGGAGAGAAAAGCTTTTGCTGCATCTGGAGAGGACAACACCAAGTTTGATGCTCATGATGGGACCAAATCTTTCAGAGAGCTTGGACAGGGACTTGTAAGAGTGAGTTCCCAGAAAATGCAAATGCCCAATAAGTGGAATTCCTGGTGGAAGATTTCTTCTAGTTTTGCTTGTGGCATTTCACCACCAAGCAAGCAAAGAGGAAGAGATGGATCACCTGGAGAAATGATTCGATGGAATCTGCCAACACGCGAAAACCCAGCCGTTTGATGGACCTTTGTTTAAGAGCCCTAAAACCAACGGCTGGCTTTTGTTTGGGGCTTACTTGTTTTTTTCCTTGGCGAGTTTTAGGGCGGCGATGGGGAGCTAGGGCATGGGCTTGATCCGGAGCGGCTTCTCTTTCACTCTGGGGACGCTGTTTGGGATCTATCTCGCGCAGAATTACAACATCCCGAACGTTCAGGGGATCGTCAACGTCGGCCTCGTCATGGCGAAGCAAATCGAGCGGGCGTACAGGAAGCGCGGCAAGGACGAAGAAGACGACTACTGAGATCGCTCACATTCCAGGCATTTTAGGAGGTAGAGGAAGAATTCGCGAAGGAAGAGGCCGAGGCTGATCGATCAGGCAGGAGGAAAAAGAGGGAAAAAATTTCTCTTTTGGAAAGCTAGAAAGAGAAGCAAAGATCTTTTTTGGAGATGGAGGGAAAGGTCGAGCAGGCTTTGCGGCGTCCCACTCCATTCCAGGTCTTCGTCAGGGAATTGAAGCAGAAGAAGGTGGAGATGACGAGCACTGTGATTGCGCTGATGTGCATTGTTTTCTCGAGCAAGCTGGTGAGCTTGAAGAACGAGAGGAACGCTTTCGACAGCGAGCACGAGGAGAGGATGGAAAATCTGAGGGAGGATAACAGGAAGCTGAGGGAGAAGCTGGGGGCAGTGAGCGAGCGAGTGATGCAAGAGGCGAGCAAGCAGCAGGGCAGAAAGATTGAACCGTTGTCTACGCGAATCGATGCCATATTTGAGGAGCTCAACTTGGTTCCTCCGGCTGGTTCTGCTGCTGCTACTGCTACCACGGATCCTTCCAAAGGTAAGCTTTTTCGTGTTCTTTCTCTTTGCTTGCGTTTTTGGTTCCTTTTTTTCATTGTTCTTCCAAATCGTGGATGATTTGCTTGCCTCCATCCTTTGTTTTGATTTGTTACTGTTCTTCCAAATCTCCAAGTTCTTGGATGATTTGCATGCTTCCATCCTTTGTTTTGATTTGTCACTGTTCTCCAAATCTCTTTGGTTTCGAAGTTTCTTCTTTTTGGTTATCTCATAGCTCTTTGTGATTTCAGATAATAGCAAACCATCTGGAAAGTTTTTTGTGTGAAAGAATCGACAGAGCTGCGAAAGATTTTTCTGTTTGGGCGAGAGCAAGAACTTTGAGGAATCAAAATCATTTTTTTTTTTTTTTGGTCTCTTTGTGTGATCAGGCACCATGTTTCTCAAGCCATCACGCTGGCGATTCAGGCCAATAGGGAAACAAAATCAAACATCATTTCACACGATTGTTCTATCGGCAATCCTACCAGAGCGAGGAACACAGAAGAGAAAAATGGATTCGCCGCTAGCAGACATTGGATTGCCTAGGATTCCATCTCGGCCGGGTGAAATGAGAGGCACTAGCAGGAAATCGCCGAGTCCTCCTTTGGAATCGGCCTACAAATCGGCAAAATGTCAAGAGCACGCTTGAAAGGAGATTCTAGACAGAAAATCCTTCTCAAAATGCTCCCGATCGATCGCTCTTCGCTCCCAACGGATCAGCAAAGCCACGGGAAAGCGCTGCAACGTGATCATTGAAGAGCGTTGCTAGAAACCCTAGCTATGGCTGCGCGATTTAGGGCTCGTCTTCTAGTATTATTCTGGAAGAACCCTAATTTCAGAGAGAGGAACGAAGCTCGATGGGCGGGAAGCTCTCTTCCAGCGACAGGAGCTCCCGAAAGGAGACGCGCTTGATCCATCGCAGCTCTCCACTCAGGTACATCCGCCGCGCCTCGGATCTTCTCAGCTTGCCGGATGTCGGCTTGGGAATGGATCGCGGCGAAGCGAGCACGATCGTCCAGACCGGGGCTTCGTGCTTGCTGAGAATCTCGACGAAGATCCTCGACGCGATCGCCTGCGCGTCTGGAGTGGCGATCGATCCACTGGCGGTCTCGGCGATCAAGACGATGTTCTCACCTCGGGCTTGGAATATTACCGCGCAACCAGGCCGGAGGAGTGGAGAGAATGAGAATGCGGTGGATTCCAGGTACTGTGGATGGATCTTTCTCCTCCCTCCGTCCAGCAGCAGCTGATCTTTGATTCTTCCAGTGATGAACAAGAATCCATGGGAGATGACTCCAGTGTCGCCGGTGCGAAGGAAGGAATCGCTGGATCCATGGATTTTGGCCTGGAATGTCTGCGATGACAATGCTGGATCGTTCACATAGCCGCTTCCCATGCTTGGAGAGGAAATCCACACCTCGCCTTCCTCTCCATCAGGTACTTCTTTGCTTGTCTCTGGATCCACGACTCTGGGATTCATCTCTTGCAGATCATCGTGCGCGCTTGAGATCTTTCCGCTGGGAAGAAGCTCTTGGTACACTGGAAAGTCACAGGATTTCTTCCATGCCGTGCACACAAACGTGGAGTTCTCGGCCAGCCCGTAAGAAGGTGCTATGGAATCCTTTCTCAGTGCGAATCTAGAGAAGCTCTTGAGGAAACTACTCACGCTTGCTGCCAGGATGGGCTCGTTGACGAGAATCAAGCTCTCGAGGTGTGACAAATCCAGTTGCAAATGCCGAGCTTTGGGATCTGGAAATGAGTTATCCTGGACGAGTTTGGATTCTACCAGAGGGAGAGCAAATGCGGGCACCACGGTACAGGTAGCTTTGAATTTGGAGAGCATCTCCAGCCATAGCCATGGCCTTTTAGAGAAGGAAAATGGCGAGCTAAGGAAGCTTGTTGCCCCGCAGGTGATGGTGAGAAGGATGAACATGAGGCCACAGTCGTGATACAGTGGAAGCCACGAGACGATGATGCTGGACGGCTGGAGGTCGTAAGCTCTTCTAGCCGCTCGAGCGTTGTGCGCTGCCGCTCCAGCGGAGATCATCACCGGTTTTGGAGCGCCAGTCGATCCGGAAGTATACTGGATCAGGAACAAATCCTCCGCTCTGGAAAGCCTCACGTAAGAATCATCGTCGACTGACTCCAAACTGACACTGTGGATCTTGTCTGGCTCCAGTGCTATCCAGCGCAGGTTGAAGTACTCGGCGATGGCTTTTGCGGACGATCCATCAAGTTGCGCGCTCAACGATTTCGGAGAAATAAATGCCACTGGTGAGGCCTCTAGAATGACTTCCATGATATCCTTACCGCTCTTGGTTTTGTTAGAAGAAGCCGACGGTGGCACGAGTGGGATTACAGCGATCCCCGCTCGCTGGCAGCCGAAGATAACAGAGATGAAATCGAGGCCTGGTGGATAGAGCAAGACTACACGGTCGCCACGCTTAAGACCCTCGACATGGATCAGCCAGCTTGAGGTAGCGGCAGCGAGAGAATCCAGAAGACCGTATGTCAAGACAGCCGGTTCTTCCTCTTCGCTGGACTCGTCGATCCACACGAAAGCCGGCTTGCTGTGGAAGGCTGCTTGCCGGGACCAGATTGAGAGGCAGTGATCAATGACTGGGCAGTCGGGGAAGATGGGATCATAGTTGAGCTCCATGGGAGGTTGTCGCCGAGGAAAGAAGCATGGAGTTTTATATGAAGATATGTTTTAAAGTCCGGCCAGACGAGGAACTCCCGAGAGCATATCTTTTGATCCACCTTGTTAGAAACGAGCAAGAAGAAAATGCCATGGTGGAACCCTGTTGTTTGCGCTCTTTAACAAAATAAATAGATATGATTTTCTTTTCCCACCATACTTCAATCAAAAGTGAGTCCTCTAATCTTATCTTTAGATTAAAGTTTTCGATGTATATGTGAGGGCCAAGTGTACGGCTACGATACTGTATATTAATATTAGTGTAGTGGGATTTTGGTAGTCGTTGGATTGGTTTCAATCTAGACCACTCGCTCTTGTATATAATCTAAGGTTTTTGGGCTAATTGATATGCACATTTCTGTATTCTCTTTCCATATTCCATGCACTTACATTGATGGAGGTGAGGGGCACTTTTGATTGTCCCTAGGGAGTGCTTGGATTTGGGATTTTGGTTTAGATTTAACTTTTGCATTGTCTAGATTTTACTTTTTCCATTTCCTTACTTTTGTTCTTTTCTTTCAGGATTTTGGTTTAAATCTAGCTTTTTGCATTGTAAGCTCTATTTCGTTAAAGTGGGATTTATTCAGTAAAATGGGACTAGGTACAAATTTTCAAGTATTTGAAAATGACGTGAAATTATATGTTTTTTGTCCAGGGGCTAGACATATCTGGGGCATGGTGACTAGCGCGGTGACTTTGTGTCCAGACTGAGTCCATCTGGTTGTATAATAAATCTCATTGTCAAGGTGAACAAGCCGAATCTGAAGCTAAAGAAGAGCGATGGCATGCGCGCACACACTATTTGTTTGTTCATTGAGCGTGTGGTGAGCTTTCCAAGATGAACGTCATTCCTAACCCTACAATTTGACGGCCAACATATTCACTGGGATGGCATGGGGCCCCACACGATATTGCAAGCCTTTGCTCCTCCTCCAGCTGAACCCTGTATGGGGTTCGATCGACAAGGGCCTTATGCAAGGGTTGGCCGTTCAGCTCAGTCTACGCACTTTGCAGAGACCTTAAGTGTTTTGCTAGGGACGCAATCATCATGTTTGCACCCCCGCCACCCCATAGAGGTACAAAGAAGTTCCCATAGTTCTGGGCACCATGCCCATGAGCGATTATGCCAAACAGAGACACAGGCAGCTGCATGGATGAAGAGATTGCCTTGGGGGCAGGATTGAGTCGAGGTAAGCACGTCTTTTTCTGGTCCATTTTGTCGTGGATGATGCAGAGGTAAGAGTCAGGTCTCTCCATGGAGAGAATCCTGTTATGATAATATGCAGTCCTGCAGCTTCTCTACTCGATATTGTGGTCGAGCTGCCTTCTAACCAACGTCTCTCGCTCTTGAGCGATGCAAGAATTCTTTGACAAAGCCATTTTGATAGCAGTGCACTCGTCACACTTTGAAAAGCTGGAGTACTTTCCTATACTCACATCCCTGAACCTGTTGCTCCACAATCTACTAAATCTAGATTGGCTCAGCTTCCTGTAGCCATTACTCTAGAGTTCCCGATTCACATCTTCCAATATGGCCCCCTTGGTATACATGGAAGGGAGAACTCGTTGGGTGTCTCGAGTTCCATCTTCCAAGAGGCGGGTTTTATGTGGTTGCTGCTCGCTACATGTCTCGATAAACCTCTTGAAGATTGCCTCTCCATATACAACATGACCCCTGGTTTTGTGAGTACCGTTGTTCCCATGGACTGCCTGTTGAACCCTTTGTTCCTCGAACTCAGTTTTGATTTTGTAGAATGTGGTTCGAGGGACTCCATAAATGATTCTCCATGCCTTCATGCAGACCAAACCCCTCTGGAAGACCATGCCCCCCACCTGATGTTCTGAAGCATCAACAAATGACCGTAATGCCTCATACACAAAATTGCGAGCTACCTTCCAGGACAATGTCTTGTATCTTGCTCTCTCCTCTTCAATAGCATCCCAATCAACATGTTGACAGCACCTCCTCTTGCAACAAGCAACTGTCGAGACCATTCGAACCTCCATCGCCATTTTCTGTCTTTTCGGTTCGTTGCTCAGATCCCTTTGGCTGCGCTTTAGGAAGGTGTACTTTCTTTTCCCATGAAGAGATGTTCTGTCATCAGTTGTAGTGGTGTTTGATTGTGAATCCTTCACATTCTCAAACACTAAGTGCTTCAATTTCCACCGCACAATGCTTCCAATAGTCAGACTATTTTCTTCTGTGTCAACAACCTCTAAAATCGCAACTCCAATATCATCCCAGCCCAATTCTTGATTAGCAACCGCATCTCTTGGATCGACAACTGTGGCTAAGATCTCAGCTACCACCTCCCCCTCGGGGTTGTTTAGAAACACCTTTGCCTGAATCCATGTAGCATGGTTCTTAAGATCCACGGAGGGAACATGCGTCGCACTTGCGGAGGCCATTCTGAAAGTGCAGAAAAGAAGTTAAGACCATACAAAAAGTGATTGGAGAATGGCCTAAATCATAACATACCAAACAACCTCAATAGCATGAGGCCACATGCCATTATTCAAACATGCTATTGACACCCACGTGAAATTTTGCATTCACAAAATTGGCATGAGGCCTCATGCCATCTTGATAAACACACAGCTGCAGGCAAGTAAAAACATACATGACAATACGCTAGCCATGAAATTGCAAGGGCCCAAGATGGCATGTGGCCTCATGCCATTTCTAAATGTGGTCCTAAGCCATTCCATGGTGAACATACCAGGAAGCACAAGTGCCGAATATCAAGAGGAAGCGGTAGCCACACCAAAGACAGTGCCGCTTGCAACACCGCAACTGCTCGTAGTGCCACTCGCACAAACTGCCACTCACATAAACTGCCACTCGTAATGGCGCTCGCAATGCCGCAACCGCTCGTAGACGCATAAACCACAGCTCACAACGCCGCTTACACAAGCAGCACTCACTGCGCTCAGCGGAACTAAGAACATGGCGCACAAAAATGATAGACCTAGGAATGAGTTCGAGAATTCAAAAATAACACACGCTTGAACGTCACATTAAATCCTCTGACAAACTAGATCTTATGATTCCTTTGACAAATTTCAAACTGAGTAGCTTCTAGACTTTGCTGTCGGACGTTGAACTTTGTCACATCATGTCCTTGCCTCGATCCAGCTGTGCCATGTCAGTGATTCGAACTTTGCCATGCCATGTCAGCGATCCGCGCCAAGATTATTCGCTGTGTAACTGCTCGGCATCTGCCTCTTACAGCATTTGCCCAGAAAGGGCATCTTTCTTCACGCAACATTTGCCACATATTTAAGGAGGGTTTAGGTTTAGCAATTCAGTAGCTTGATAAACATGCAAATACAGAACTTGATGCAAAATCCTTTGATATGTCACAATGCCCCTAGGACCATAAACACATTTCAATAGAGAGGGTCCTTTCATTTCATAACTCCTTACGTAGATCTTGGTGAAACCAGAGTTAGTGAAGTTGGTTTCTTGTGATCCCGCATCTGATTGTGATGTCCCTTTGCAGTGTCGATGGAAAGGTCAATGCACACCAAACTGTAAAATTTTGGAGCAAAATAACGGTCGGATCTATGGCAAATGCCCCTGAAACATTGTAAGGCTCGTGTGGTCTTATGTGGTGTCCGATCGAGATGCTTCTTTGCAGGGTCATCAAGAAGGACATTGTATACCATTCTTTATTTAGCTGAACATCTGGCATTTTTGGAAATACAAGATGCTTTGGAATATCCAATCATGCATGGTATAAATATAGCGAGGGTATTAAATGATATCCCAATCATGATCTTTCTTTTGGATTTCGCGTGCATGCAGTCCGAGGAATGATGACGTTGCGGATTTCTTTTGGATTTCACGTGCATGCATGCGCGCGGCGATCCAGAAATTAATGGTGGCGCCCAAGTCCGAAGAATGATGACGTTGCGGGATTAGTGACATTTCGCACGTGTGAGGTTAGGTTTTGCATTTTGCTTCGTACTCGCGCTCGCATCGCGCTCCCACTCGCGATCACGCTCACATTCGCGCTCATCTACCTTCTCTACAGGTTTCTCATGTGCATCGGCGTCCACTTGCGCTTGCATCACACTCGCGCTCGCATCGCGCTCGTGTGCATCGGCGTCCACTTCAAGACACACCCAGTTTGTAACTTCGCCGCCAACTCCGCCACCCACACGCAGCCCACTTGGCGTCCCGGGAGATTTCAGTGCCACTCTCCAACTGTAAGTGGCAGAGTAGCCTTGCTGCTACGATCCGCTGCACACACAGTGCACATTCGCCAGCGAGTCCGGCCTCGATTGTCACGCCTCCATTCGGCTTCAAATGGTAAGTCTTTTAGGCCAAGTAGAAAATGGCATGAGGCCACATGCCATTCAGTAGCAACATTGGCATGCACCGATTGGGCTCTCGAGTGCAGTCCGGTTACAGATGGCGTGTAGCCTCATGCCATCTTAGGATGCAGCCTCAAGACATCTGATGCAGTGGTGAATGGCGTGTGGCCTCACGTTATTTCCAGCTGCTAGCTTTTCATCTGTCAGCTCTAATTGTTGTGCATTTCTGAACAGGCGAGGAATTGCGTTCTTTTTCCAGCCACTATCAATGTGGATGCAGAGAAGGGGGAGGAGCTCACTAGTTGGACTTTCGGGATGGAAGGCGAGGATCTGAGGCTGTACAACACAAATGGTGGGAGAAAAGAATGCATGGGGATCCTCATCCAAGTGACAGACACTCCATGCAGTTCCATGCAAGAATATGGACTGGCACTTGTGGTAGAGACAGCGTCCGCCTTCAAGATCCACCTTGCACATCCTAGCGGCTTCCCGGAGGAGGGCAGCGGCTATGAGGAATTCCTAGAGGGAGCTAGGGAGAGGTTGCATGTGGCATAGCATGTGGCCTCACGCCATTTCCATTGCAGGAATTCTCGAGTCTTCTCTCGAAAACACTGGGGGTCAATGACACACTCAGCATCCAT